GATTACGGAGGTGAGTAGGATTGTAGGTTATGGTGCCATATTTTACTTGCTATGTACGTAGAAGTGTAGGGGTTTTAGTTCAGTGGAAAGTGTGTTACATAAATGTACTATTCATAATTCACATATAGAGTTGAACTCTACACACCCACTACTTATTTACATGCAACCCTCTCTAAGAATCTAATCTACAAATCCGCCCTCGCCGGCTCCCCCGCCCACACCCTCCGAATCAACTCCCGAATCGGCTCACGCTGAATCTCCCTAGGGTTCCAGTACGGGTTACTAACCGCAATATCCGCCGCCTTATCAATATCCTCCTCCTTCATACCAAAGTCCTTCAACCCACGCTTAACCTGCAACTTCTCCAACAGCACATTCAGCCCGTGGATCGCATCCCCGTTACTCTCTGGCAGGGCCTCAGCCAGCTTCTTCATCGCCTCGGGAATCTTCGGCGCATTGTATGAGATAGCGTGCGGGAGCACCGCCGTGTGCGTCTCCGCATGGGGCAGGTTGAAGCTTCCGCCGAGCGTGTGGCAGAGCTTGTGGTGGATGGACATGCCTACGCTGCCGAGACAGGTACCGCAGAGCCAGGCGCCGTATTGGGCGGAGGAGCGGGCGGAGGGCGAGCTGGGGTTCTGGACGATTTCCGGGAGGGAGGAGGCGAGGGCTCGGGTGCCTTCTAGAGCCATGAGGTTGATTACGGGGTTGGTGTTGCGGGCGTAAAGGGCTTCCACTGTTGGATGGTCGATTGTGTTAGTTTGACATTTCTATGGAAGGGTTCTAGGTACAAGGACTAACCTGCATGGGCGATGGCATTGACACCGCTCGTTGCACTCATGGCCACCGGCAAAGTCATAGTCAGGTCGACATCGTAGATCACAGTCCCCGGGAGGATCTTCGGGTCGGAGCGAGTCTTCTTCAATCCATCGGCTGTTTCACCCAGAATCGGGGTCATTTCACTGCCTGCGTAGGTGGTCGGGATACAGATGTGCGGCAGTCCTGTGCGGATGCTGATGGCCTTGCCCAGACCGATAGTGCTCCCACCGCCGATGGAGACGACGCAGTCGGCCCTCTGGGCGTTGGCGTATTCCAATGCCTTGTCGGTGATGTGGGTGGGAGTGTGCATGGTGGCTTCGGTGAAGATGCCGGCCACTTGGCCGTTCAGGACGGTCTTGACATTCTCGGCTTGGGAGACTTGCTGCGGGGTCGAGAGGAGGAGAGGTGCTTTGAGGTTCTGGCGGGCGAGCTCATCGGGGAGCTTCTTCAATGTGCCGCTGCCGAAGATGACTCGGCCGGGGTTGGCGTTGTATTCGAAGGAGTCCATGGTGGTTGTGGTGATGATGGTGATGGTTGGAGTTGTAGATGAGGGGAAGGGATGAGAATAGCGGGGGGAAGGGAAACTCAACTAAGAATCAGGATCGGTATATATCTTTGCCTAGATCAACCCATGAATTGGACTTCTAGGAACCCGAACAGCCGACGAAGCTTGATCATCATGAATAATCCCCCACACCCCACCGATCCGGAGCAAACGTCATGAAGTTATTGGGGCAAAGGCCTTTGCCGTGGGTCGCCCGTGGAGGGGCTCGGCAGTTGGTTGTTGTTCATGCCGATACTATACTATGAACTGATATGCCAATTACTTTCAGTGTTTATTTTACAATATTCGATGTTCAATGAATTCAATGAGGTTCTAGTTATTTGGTGATTATGCCGATTATGGTACAATGTGTATTTACCCTGCAACGGCAACTCCCCCTACTCCAGCTTCAACACCGTATCCTTAGGGCTGATCTGCGCCCACTCCAACGTCTTCTTCCAGATCTTCCCCTGCTTCTCATTATCCTGACTTTCAGGCGAACTCTCATCCTTCCTCAACAGAGTAAAGTATCCCGCCTCCCCCGCATATTTATCACTCACGGCCAACTCAACCACATCCTCCCCGGCCTCCGTAGCCGTGCGCATAGTCGGGTCAAGTAGTCTCAACAGTGGCCGGAGTGGCTGGATTACGAGATGGGAGATGATCCTAAGAATTAGCGGTGTGTTGGTGCGCAGCGCGCGAGAATCACTCAGGTTGCCTGGGTTGATCGCTACAGCCTTGATGTGCTTTAGATTGTCGTCCTGGTGTAAGTCCTAATGTCAGTATACTCACTCCATTCTGAACATCGAGGAACATGCTAGAAAGGAAGATAATACCTGTATCAACTGCCCGTTCAACGCATACATCCACATAATAATCGCCAATTTCGACACCGCATACTGATAGAACCCCTTCCCCCTGACATCCTCGCCCGCCTTCTTGATCGGTTTCACCAGCTCGTCCAGATCCTCTGGAATGGTAGGCGGATACTTCTCCAATCCATTCTTACCGGGCCAATGGGCGTCACTACCGAAGAGAATAACCCGTCCAGAGTTCGGTTCGAATGAGCCTAGCAGACGCAGTACTAGCGAGGCGTGGGCGATATGATTCACCTGAAAGGTCTTATCCAGCTCATCGGCAGTTGTTTCGACCTCGCTAGCTAGGTTCCAGTAGTATGCGTTGCAGATGATGGTGGCTAGTGGGGGGAGTGTGCCATTGGTGATTTCAGTGGCTAAGGTCTGCGCGAAGGTAGATACTTCGGAGAGGTTGGAGAGGTCTAGTTTTCGGATTGAGGTACTTGGGTTGAAGAAGTGTGCGATGGTGTCGTTGAGACGCTTAGTGTTGGGGTCCGAAGTGGAGGGGTTGCGGACGGTGAGGATGAGGGTGTAGTCTGGGTATTTGGTGAGGAAGTGGTGGACTGCTGGGATGGCGAGAGAGCTGTTGGCTCCGGTGAGGAGGATGGTTCCTGGCATTGCGGTGGAGGGAATGTATGATGGTGATGGAAGAGTATGGGGTACAGTGGCTTATGTGAGATGGTCTATGGGCTGGTTGGCGCTTCTTATCATTCTTTATGTTGCTTTCCCCTGCTGCCAAGACAGTCTAATATAGCTGTTAATCCTGGACTGTTGAAGCTGCTAGCCTTGAAGCAGTAGCCGACAAGGCTGTGTGCAACCGCAGTTCTTTGTGCCTGGATTTTATGCGATTGGAGCAATATTGCGAGATACGCTAGCTTGCTCGGCTACGATGCGACACTCTAGTTCTAGATAAGCTGAGTCACAATTATGGCAGATCATCTAGAGATATTAGCATCATTGAGTACGTATTTGCAAAGCACACTCCCAGTTTTGTTTTCCCGACACCAATGCTATGCATAACCTCCCGCTTAGGGTATCAATAAACCACATTCGATTCCAGTTAATCCAAGTCAGCGAAAGCCATGATTTGCTGTCCACCCTTGCCCTTGGCTTTCGTCTTCTTGCGCTTGTTATGTGCCTTGTCCTGGCGGCCGCCAGCGTCGCTATCATCCGAGTCGTCATCACTGTCATCACCTTCATCGCTATCGTCACTGTCACCATACATGCGCTTCTCTCCCGGCATTGCCCCGTATCTATCAGCACCAACAACAGCCTCATGCCAAACCTTCACCACCTGTCCACCACCAGTGACCATGCGCCCCTCAACGTCAAAACCCAGGCCAACCACGCCCTCAGTCTCATCATGCATAACCTCCGAGGCGACCTTGTTAGGGCCGATCCGCACGAACTTGACTTTACCACTGCCGAGGCCGATGGCGACCACCTTGCCCTTGCCCAATTCGTCCGGCAGAACAGCCATGGTCTCGAGGGACTCTCCACCACCATCTCCACGCTCCACATAGATCCGCTCGTCCTGGTCATCCCACGCGCCCTTCTCCCAGAGCGTAAGAACACCGCTAGAGCCTCCCACAAGCACCTTCTCGCCGCGACTCGTGCCACTGGCTGCCAGCCCGCCAATATACGTCGAACTGATCAACTCCTCCTCCTGATCCTCACTGCGAACAAGCACACCCCGTCGCAGATCCGTAACTGCCAAGGTCGTTCCACCCGTCGTCACCCATTGCTTGCTGAACCCGGAGGTGCTGGTCTCGGATGCCGGAAGAGGCGTAAGAGACGAAACGTAGTCGTCGTGAGGGTGATGAGATTGTTCAGGCTTTGCCGAAACCTTAGAGTAGGGTATGCGGAGATCGTAGAGGTGGAGGGCGCTGGAATCGGTCGCAAGAAGGAGAGTCTGAGGGGAAAGCGCATGGACGATAGTGGGAGCATCGATGGATCTAAAAGCAGATATAATTAGCCATTGAGTCCCCATCCGAACCACATATGCAATGGGATTCATATCTTACCCATTCTTCATCGTAGGAATAGCAATCTTGTTTTCCACAACACCCGTCTCCGCCTTCGCGGCCTTGATCAGCCCGTCCGTTCCGGCCGAATAGAGAGTTTCGCCATCAATTCCGAACGTCAAGCACCGGCAGCTACCCTTGTGGCGTCTCGTCCGCCACATCGTATCAATGTGTCCTCTACCATTGCGTGACGAGGCATTCGACGTCTCGTCGTCGTCGCTGGCCGCTTCATCGGTGGGGAGTCGGAATGTTTGGACGTGGCCGGAGGAGAGACCCACGGACACAACGGGCTCCTTGGGGTGCAGGGCCTGGGAGAACAGGTCCGCTGATAGCGGAAGGGTGCAGACGGTGTCGAACATTGCGGCGAATGAGCAATTGCACGAGAGCGAACTTATGCCGCAGTTTTTTGACCGGCGGAGCTTGCAGCTGCAGGCTGGCGGAGCCGATCAGTCTCGGAGTGAACGGGCCGACGGATCTTCCGGGGTCGGTTGGCCATAGAGTTTACGCTTAAGGCTACTTTATCAGTTTGCTATCTACGCAGGGCTGATTAGGTCAGGACTAACGAAGAACAACTGTCTCTTGGTTTGAGTGGACTCAAAACAGAAAGGAAGCGAATGTGAAGTGAAGTACAAAATTCTCAACATGAATTGGAAAAACACAAGAAACAAAGTCTGCATCAATCAATCTGGAGTGAACGAAACATAAACGAAGGCAGCCCGATATACAAAAGCAGTGGCCACTTTTCGGACTATTTACAAGCCTCGACCCTCCCATATCCCATTCCAGGAACCTGTCCTGTCATGTCCGGCATGGTGGTGCAGTTGAGGCTCTGAGCCCAGCGCTTCGGCTTATGCGGAAGCGCTGAAGGTCGAGTTGATGGGACCGAACTTGATGTTCGAAAAAGTCACCGAAGCATCAGGGTGCGCTCCCTCGACTGTGGCGGGGACGCCCGACTCCGAGTCGCATGTTCCGCGTGCAACACCTGGGTCGGTAGCGGTAGCGTTCTCGGGATAGTCACTGTCGAGCCACTCCATGCTGGCATAGTAATCATCCCACAAGCTCAGGATCAGAACCATGGAAGACATGGCATCACTGATCCCAGCAAGCCCATTATGCGCAGCGAACACATCGTCGTCGCCAAAGGCCTTTTTCTGCGCAGTGCAGAAGTCCGTTGTGATCGAGTTTCCAGTCACTCCAGAGATGCTGGACTCGGCGTTCGCAATAACGTTCCCGTTCTGCACGTAGTAACGCTTGATCTCGCTGAGGGAGCTGGAGCCATCAGTGATGAACTGGGTCACAACGGTCATCTTGGAACCGGTGTCAACGATCTTGCCAGCACCGTAGAAAGATTCGTTGCCCATGCGATAGGGGTTGAAGTCGCAGCCGTCAGGGTCGCAGGTTCCTGTGATTGGATTAGCCGAAACATCCAGCTCGAGCTTTTATCTAGGTACTCGTACCTGCGTAGCGATCATCCGAGTAGGTTCCACCGCAGTTGTTACCCTCACACATGGTCTGGCTGCTGCTGTCGCAGGGATGGGGTGTCAATGCGGTCGAGATCTTATTGGCTTCCCAGATATCCATTTCAGGGCAGCAAGAACCGTGGTTGCCGATACCTGTGTTGTCATTGTTGCTAGAAGGTTCCCAGCCATCGACGTTGGCCTGGTTCAGGTTAGCATATAAGCTTTGAGGAGGCTTTCAAGGACTACATACTTCTCCGTTGATGAACTTTAGGTCTCGCGGACATTGGGAGTCACAGTATCCTGTTCCGTACTTGGCTCCGGCCTTGTTTGCAGGGTACCTTGAGGTGCCACCATCGGCGTCCATTGCAGTGAAGTACAGCGCGCCATTCAATCCACATGGGAGGTTAGACACATCGACGTCGAAAGTGAACTCTGCGTCAAGCAAGTCGAACGTCTGGTATTTCTCGTCACTCGTGTCCATGAGATACACACGCGAGCCAACATTGGAACCAGTGACGAATTTCAGTGTCAATGAATCACCGTCAGTGGTGATACCGTAGGTGGACTCGTAGTCTGCTCCGTCCAGGGCGCAGTTGGTCGCACAGGTTTCATCGTCAGGGCAGAGAGTTGAATCCCACTGTGATGTGCGTCAGCCAGTACAGCACATAGGTGCCAATGAAACTCACGGTGTTTCCAGTGTAGCAATTGGTGCTATCATCGACAGAATGGGTCCAGCGCCAGTTTGAGTCGATGACAACCGAGCCACTCTGTTCCGTGCAACTGCCTTCAGAAGTGCACTTCTGCCAGGTCAAGGAAGGATGGACTTCCTCCGTGAGCGTTCCGGCTTGCTGGGCACGAACGGCCGTCAGCAGGGCCGAAAAGAGAAGGGCGCGTTGATGCATTGCAATGAGATTGTTTCAGACTCGAGTCGTCTCCTTCTTTCAGTGATTCTGTTGTCTGTCCGGCAGATGTGATTTCCAAGCTGTACAGTGGGATAACCTTCCCATTTATAACATCTCAGCCAGCATTCGGTCTCATACCCTCTTGCGATCCGGAAGAATAGGGTCTCCCATTTTTGCCGGTGCAGCGGACCGTCAGTCCGTCGATGTTTCAAATTAGGCAAGGCCTTATGTGCCGTGAAATGAAGAACGCACGATAATAGATTGCTGTGTTGCAGAAAGAGGGCTCTGGGTATTGAGGTGTGTCCCCGAGTGGGCCCAGATTCTATCACCAGGATGGAGTATATCAGGCTGCTCGGCTAGCGCTGTGCCTTATTGGTTCATGGAGTTTCAGGGATTCACGGAGGGCCCTCCGAGTTGTTTCTGTTCCCTGCTTGTAATGAAGCACTGGGGTCTTCCAACGAAAGCTGTCTATGTCATGTTTGGCCCATCCAAAGCCATGCATGTAGAGACAATCTGCCTCACAGGCCAACTTAGTGAAGCTCTGCGATAGACAGGTTTTAGAGCCCTTTACTCGGGTGCAGGAGCCTTGCCCGACGCGATGCTCTAGGGTATCTCGCAAAGTATCATACCCAATACTAGCAAATGGCAGCGATCGTGCAGTCCACTCTGATGCTATTTTTCTTCTCCAATACTTGGAGTATCTTCAAATCAAAAACCCTGTAATCAATTAGCCGCGTCGATTAACAAAGGTCATTCGCAGTCCCATTTGGGAAATACGGAGACAACGGCGTCCCATGTAGCCGCTGAGTTAATGAAGATGTGGCAGCGGTGTGGCGTTGTTTGGGTAACAGCCAACTCCGATTCATCTCATATCCTGATGAAAGGATTGATTAATTTCCAGGGTCCTCTATTAGCCTTGTCGATCCCGGAATGCGGGGTGCTACATCCCATCAATGACAGCTCGAGTGGGTGCCAAAATGATTCGGATTCATGCAGGTGGCTAGGCTGAAATTGATCTATCCAAGCCGGAAATAGTAGACTTGGCTGGGGTTATCAATGTCAAACCAAGAAACGTTTTGGTCTTTGCTCCCGGTAGAGCCCGCCTTACCGGCTTAGACAGGGCGGTTAGCATTTCCGACTGATTCATGTTTCACCACAATTATTTTATATCGAATTTCCATTTGTTCATGACGTAAGGTGTTTCCCCAGGCGCCATCATCCTTTCATTTGCCTGGCTTCGTACCTAAACGGGGTAATACTGAGCCGTGTCACCTGTAAATCGAACCACTGTAGTAAGCTCACACACAGACATCCGACAAAGCCGACGGAAGCCTCGATATGGCGCTGTACCTTGCAGATCGCTTCCCGATTACGTTCGGAGGCGTGCAAGCCAACAAGATCTAACGGTTGCTATTTAGCCGGCTTGAATTTGAGGAGGGGAGCGGAGTGATTCTCCGCGACATACATGGCGTAGATGCCAAGAATCTTCCCTTCTGGCATTGTACTGCCTTGCTTGGATTGATCATGCAGCGACTGCATTGACATTTAACCTATAACAAGGGTCTTGCTACTCAGACAAGGCCTTTGTCTGCATAATATGAGTAAAGTGACAGGTGATGTCGGTTGAGGAGTATCTCCGCCAGCCACAAGAAGAATTCGTGTTCCCGTTCCGGCAGGTATACGATGCCCTCGGTGTGCATATCAGATATTGAGAGTTTTAGTACTCTGTCGGGTTCAGGATAATCGATAGTATAGTAGTGTGGTGGTTGAGCAGACTGCCATGATGATGCTTCAATGAAGCTTGAGATTGAAATATATACTAGTGCCGTTTTGTTGAAAACTACCAGTCGTAGAAAATTCCCTAGCAGACAGAACTCGCATGTTCCACTGTCCGTTATTGTACCATGTGGTAGACAAGTCCAGATCATAGGAAACGAAGTTGAGGATATGATTAATCATTCATCTAAACTAACTAGGGAGAGGACACAATGGTATCCCCTGTGATGCCTAACTTGTCATGAGCCTCGGCAGTTTCTTATCACCCGCTTATCGCTTATCGGATGACCTTTTCCAAGTGGAGATGGTTGTATCCTCAGGCCAACCGCCCAACCTCGCCGGTCGCTTCCCCCTCGTTCGTCTGTTTCACCGGTCAGGATTGATCTGGCTTGCATCCATTTACTTCCTTCCGTGTCTCTCGTGTAGACTAAAGATCATACAATAGACAGTCACAATAGACGATAGAACATGGCGTGGTACAGCCAGACTATCGAATCCTTCTCCGATTCGCTGGGGACCAGCCGAAGCCAACTTCCCCTGCTTGCCGTCACAGGGGCCTCGTTCACTTTGGGTCTCTTGTTTCGATCACTGCTTTCAGACCCACAACAGGAGAGCACAGTGCTTGAGTCCCCGCGCAAGAAAGTCCTGTCCGTGTCCGATTCAGTGAACCGTGAGCTTCCGCTGCCCACGGACGTCCTCCCGGGAGCCCGGGATGTCTCTACGCCGTATGGATCTATCCGTGTGTATGAATGGGGCCCAGAAGATGGACCTAAGGTTCTCCTAGTTCACGGGATAACCACTCCGTGTATTGCACTTGGGGGGCTGGCCCATGCCTTGGTTGACCGGGGCTGCCGGGTCATGCTGTTTGACCTGTAGGTGACCCGCCTTACGATGATGAGGAATGATCACTAACAGGCCTGAATAGGTTCGGCAGAGGCTACTCTGACTGCCCGTCTGACATTCCACAGGACAACAGACTGTTCGCCACCCAAATTCTTCTCGCTTTAAACTCATCGTCACTGTCTTGGACTGGAGCCGGCTCCGGTAGATTCTGCCTCGTGGGTTACTCACTGGGTGGTGGCATAGCTGCTTCTTTTGCAGCATATTTCCCTCAGTTTCTCTCTTCGCTGGTGCTGCTTGCTCCCGCAGGCTTAATCCGTGACTCCCAGATCAGCTTCCAGTCACGTCTCCTCTACTCCCGCGGTCTTGTTCCGGAACGTGTGCTTGGCTTCCTGGTTGGACGCCGCCTCCGCGCAGGCCCGCTGACTATCCCGAAGTCGAAGGCCCGTAAGCTTACCGCTGAGGATGCGCTCGCCGAGGAGCTGCCGACACAGGGTGCGGCACAATTCCAGCGACTATCTCGGACGTACTCTCATGTCAATGTCCCCAATGCTGTCCAATGGCAAGTGGGTGAGCATGCTGGGTTCGTGCATGCTTTCATGTCCAGTATGCGACATGGACCAATTCTGCAGCAACGCCAGCGCGAGACTTGGGAACGTCTTGGAAGATACCTATCGACACAAAAGGACCTCCCGATCGAGGAACAGCGTTTGAATGGTCTACCGAGTGATAAGGTACTCATCATGTGCGGGGACCATGATGCTGTCATCGTCAAGAATGAGCTTGTCCCTGATGCAACGTCGGCACTTCAAGGGCATGCAAGCTTCAAATTCTTCAACGCAGGCCACGAGTTCCCAAGTACCAAATATGAAGAAGTGGCCCAATTTGTGATGGAATTTATGCACTGAGGACCCTGCAAGGAATCATCCTACGATGCTGATCATTCACTTGAATTACTATCTTTATAGACATTTTGGAGTGGAATTTTTTTGTTAGACTTTCCTGTTTTAGATTGTTGCTTCCCATCTTTCTCATGCTGGCCCACATTGCCATTTCCATATTGAGAAAATGCCTAGTTTTATCCAGCGATAATTTAGATGCCACATAACTTTACTTTTACTTGGTTATTGACACACTTAAGTATGTTGAATCATGCAATATCTGTGCGATAACATGGATAAAACGAGTGGTTAAAACATAGGAGACTGGGTATCTGCATTGTCAAGGATAGACGGCGGCGCGTGTTACGCCGCCAGCTGGTAACTATAGGACCTCTATATCAACCTTCCCTTCCTCTTTCCGGTCCAGCGTTGGAGCAATTGGCTCCTGTTTGGGTATAGCGCCTGCCTGGCCAAACTGGTCGATTTGTCTTCGTCGTCCTCCATTTCCACCTTCAATTTCCGCCTGCCCGTTTCCCCGCAACCCAGGCATCATATCGTCTGCTTCCCAGTCTCCTCAAAGCGACTCGCAAAAAAGGTCGTCTCTCATAGCGCTTTTATTCTTTCGCGTTTGTACTTTGCCTTTTTTTTCTTTCATTTTTCTTTTTCTTTTCCTTTCTTTTTTTTTGGGATTTTCGCTCATTTTTTCAAAATCTGTTCTGTCGCGTCGAGCTGGCTTGAGAGACGCGACACATGATCAGAGCGCTCTCCCATTCGTGCCCGGGCATAGTAAGGTGCTTCCGCCGCGGACGACTGCGAAAAGCGTTCCATGCTGCCGCTGCTGCCATCCGGGATGTGACTCAGGTTTCCTGCACTGAGGCTGCTGCTCATGCCGTTGGCGGACCTGCATGTGTGTGAGTATCAACAGGATTTGAAGAGGTGAAAGGTGGAAGCTTACTTGGAGGTATGAGCGTTTCCAGACATGATCGATGAAGTTTGGATAATAGTCCCGTGAACTCAGAGGAAGAGCTTGTGTGGAAAGATTTGAGAGAGTTTGGACAGACGATCGTGCGTGATGGACTTTGATTGGGTATGAAGGGAGAAGTCTCTTGGACGCAGATTGAAAACTTGAGTGGATGTGAGAAGGCTTGTTTGGCTTGGATTCGTTGGTGAGTTCTGACCAAACGGCGAGGAGAGACTCGTCCCTATATACCTTTCAACGGCTCCGGTTATATTCCAAGCCTCGCTGTTGCTGACGACTGAAACCGAGAATGTGATACAAGAATAAGTAGATGCCTTGGGAGCGTCCAAAAAAAGCTGGACTGCCGCAGACGGGGAGGGAAACGATGAGTTTGGAAAATCCCAAAAAGGGTCCGGAGTGTGAAGGGAAATGGTAGGAAAGAAGCCAGTAAGTGACACAGGCAGATAAAGATCTTCGGTGGGATAGTGCCTCGGAGTAGTGTATCTCTGACTAACTAGGCTACTTTCAAGGAACGGTTGGGCTGTCTAGTCAAGATCAGCCACTGATCGAGATGAGACTCTGCCCTGCAAGTTCGGATAGCTGCACATCCTCGATCTAGGGTTTGCCGAGAATCAGCCCATTGACCCGATAGACGGATTTAGTCACATTCACCCCAATCCCTAGAAAATTGGAGGCGATGATTGCCAGGGTAAGCACTAGGGTGAAATGTGTGACCCAAGGCCCGGTTCATGAACCATTGGATACAGTAAGGACATTCTGGAGAACCCATGAACGATCATCAGCATGGCCTACATCGGGCACATGAGCCGAGAAACACCATAACCGGTCATTCGGTATGCGTCTTGGGTCTTAAGTCCACTACCAAACCAAACTGGTCATAGCGGATGTTCAACGGCAGTCGTCATCGGATAGGGGCTTTGAGGGCTGAAACGCCCAAACCAGCTTGTTCTGCCCACGATTGAAAGCTAGCCAGAAATCTAGACCAATGCCCCCGATCCCCCTTTGACCGCCAGCCTACTCCCTTTTCGCACTCGCGCTATGTCATGTTCAAGACCCATCCTTTCTCGGAAAAGAGATTGGGGGGGAGTGGATAGCCAAACGAAGAAAGGATCGAAGGCAGACCGTTTGAAGGATCGCCTGAGACCTCACCGATGTGGACAAAACGTGGTCGATCCCATCCAAGCGATCACGCACTGCCCCAGGGGATAGACGGGCTTTGGGCTTCGTTTTCTCTAACCCACGCTTCTGCATCTCGATAATTTCTTTTGCTTTTCAGGTTCCTTGGTTCTTACTGTATTCAGCTAGGATTGGCGACACTATCCACTAACGGTTCTGCGGTCTCCGAAGAATCAACGGCATTATTGCATTCAGTGGCAGTCGCTACGAAAGCTGCAGGTGACAATGTCATCTTTCAACAGCAGACAAATCTCCAAGTTGGGCAGCAAAGGCCATGATGAACTGGCTATGGAAAGCCTCAACCCATTCCTTCAACCATTATTACAATACGAGAGCAGTCCTCGCTCCATCAGAGGACGTAGCATCAGTTTTGCTGTTTCTCTTTGCCCTGTCGACAAAAGTTCAAAATTAGCAGAGCTTCAACAGGGATTATTGAAGAACCCCCAATCTTTATCCGGAGGCGTTCACATACCTGCTTGTCACAGCCCGCCGGCACTGCCGACCTCGGTCAGCTTGATTGAGGGGTTGTCCCTTTAATCAAACGATCAACTATGTACTTGCTGGAAAGGAGCATGCTAAGCCAAGCCTCGTTCTCCTTAAAAGATTGCTGCTGGCCAGTGCTCTGTCAGATTTGCTTTTTCCTGGCCTTTAGACCAGTCAAAAAAGGGGATATCCACGCCCGCGCGATAAGAAATGAGGGTGCGCCCCCCAAAAGCAATTGTCGCTTTCTAAATTTGGCCTGGTCAATCACGGATCGTGATGGCACTACCGTAAATAATGGCAAACTACGGAGTAGCGGCGAAAGTACCCTGCGTCAATCCACGGACCTAATCATTCCTATTTGGCAACTAACGTTAGATTCGCCGAGTTTGGTGTAAGTCCGGCTGCCTCCTTCGCATGGCTTACCAGAACGCCGGGTCCGTTGCACAAGCTAAAGTCACTATGAACGGCTAACGGAGCAATGGAGGAGTGAACGGCGGTTGGCCATCTCAGGGATTCTCGGAGAAAGCATTCCGAAAAGGGGCTCCTCCAGAGGTCTCACTCACAAAGCGTTGCGCTATTGTCTCCTACTATCTACAGACAACGCCGACCGATGCCGTTCTGATTTATTTTTCGCTCCTCCCGAATATGCCAGCGCCCTTGCGGGCTCGGGCTTCTCCGCTGGCAGATTATGACCCAGAAACGGTCAGTCTCCACGCCATTCCGCGGGGGACGGTATCCATCAGGAAACACCTCCAGTGCTATTGATTCACACGGCCTGAAAACGGACCTGCATTCCGGGTAATGCGAGTTCACCCCGGGCTCGGCCGCGAGACTGGGTGAGGATACGAATTTATTGAAGAGCCGAGTAAATAATACTGTCAATAATTTTTTACTTTTCTTTTCCCCTGGTCGCGGACACGGGTTGGTTGGTTTCACTACGCGCCTGCAAGGCACGCTTGGTCCAAGCTCCTAGCTCCAGCAACCTTATCTTTTACATCGCTGCTTCTATTCGGTAAGAAAGCCGGTGCGCAAACCCGCATGGACCACCCTTGGCTGGCTGTCCGGCATGGATAGCAGGTACTCACTAGAGCTAACCGAGTCCAACGATGACTTCATTTGCTTGATTCAAAGATCCACATGGCCTCGTCCAACATAGGTCCTTTTCGAAAAGTAAGTGACAAGGTTATAAAACCACGAACAAAAAGCAAAGAAATAAGAAATTAATCAAACCGGACCAGGACCAGCCAAGCATGTCTTTCCGCGTGGACCGCTGGTCAGAGCTGCCATGTCTCGAACCGAGCCGAACTATGGCAGCGGCTGAGCCTTAAAATTACGGGACCAGAAGAAGAGAGATTCGTAGGAATCCAAGCTAACTGCGCCCTTGACCTAGTGTCTTGCGCAGGCTGTGAGATCTGGTGTTCGCATCCAAAGCGGCAAAGATCTGCGCCGCAACTGCACGTCGCTGATCCTCCCTTCAGCTGAAGCCTAAGGCATAGTGTGATGGAAACTATGAAACAAGTTGACGGAGATTCCGGGGAATTGAGAGTTCCCTCCCCTATGTTACCCCTGTTCTTCGGCGTAACTCTTTTCCCTGTACAGCCCCGTCCGGCCAGCCACAAAATTAGCATGACAAGCAGTCGTCATTCACGCGCAGGACAGCTGAAACACCCGCCAGAAGTTAGTTACGTCAACTAGCAGGATTGCAGGAACGAGGTGACGCGAGCAGCTGATGAGGCCTTCATCGGAAATGTGAATAGCGGTGGTCCGGCGTTCTCCGTCAATCAGTTAGCATTCGTCAACAAGCCAAGGACCGTTGCTTTTTCTCTCTCCCTTTTTCTCGAGGTATGCTCGGGCATGGACGACCTCGGCAGGGATCCGCGTCAAATCCTCCTCACCGAGCGATACGTCCAAATTAGGACCCTTTACGCAGGAGCTCTTCGGAAGCTACGGGTCCCCTGACTAGTTCTCAGGTACCATAGAACTAGTAGTCTCTGAGCGTTACACGGAAGCGACATACACCCTTTCGGCTTTCGGGATTTGCTACAAATTCGTATTGCTCCCGTCAAATCCCTGGATTATGTCGCTAAGCAAGGTATGCTCGGCCGGAGTGCTACACGAGGCTGGGCCTTTGGATGTCGGCTCAAGCCGCGACACGGAATGAGTCATTTGCGTTTATACATGCGCGTAAGTGCATTGCCATGATATGGCGTTGGCATGTCTCTATCATGCATGCATGGCTCCAGGATATGTGACAAATCTTGGTACGAATAGGTTCATATCAGTTTACTATATGCGCCAAGGCCCAAAACAGCCGAGACTGAGGAAAGACGTTTGATGCCAGAAGCTTGAAACACATTGCTGTTGCCCAATCGTTGGTAAGGCAACAAAGTCTGCGACGGAGGACTAGTGTTTGCCGTCGACTGCGACTAAATGTGCGATCAGAATCTAAGTACGAGGTCGATTCTGTGGTCCTTCAGTAGTGGGATCGTGAAACTCGCTAATACGACGTAGAAATGCGTCTGCTATGGCTGCTTTCAGCAAACTAGACGAGCACATATCGTCGAGAAAGCCCATCTCTGCATAGCAGGTGGGACACTGATGGTCCTTGCTTGTACATCGAGCGTTACGAGCTGAATTCCATTAGCACGAGCTTGGGTATTGGTTGCCATTATTGCCGCTAATGTGATTATAATTGTAGTCCTGTTATGTTATTCAAGATGTGCTGCTTTGGGGGAGGGTTACTGATTGTGAACAGGCCAACTGAGACCTGTAGGTCTTGAAGAAGTACAAAATGTGTGGTTGAGAAGTGCTTATCCCTCCAGGTATGCACAGTTCATGCGTGGAGATCTGGCGTGTGATCATGCTGCTGATGTGGAACTGTCTAGGGTTCGGCGCAGCTGATAGCTGAAACATCGCCTGAACGAAGCGAAGTGCAGCGGACGCCTGCATGAACCAGCAGAATGACCAGATAAGATGAAGTGGAACAGCAGAAAGAGAAAAAGCCAATAGCAATAACAGAAGACCAGCTGACAAGGGAAACGGCATAGCAATCGGCTAAGAACACGGCACATGGAAGCTTAAGCCTTCGCTTCCGGGTGATCCCTGCGTAAAGTGGATATACTATATACCTGTTCGCGATCCTCGTGGGAAACCCAACATGGTGGCTTATACGAGGATCATGTTCATCACAAGAGTATTCCTTTTTCTCAAAATTGCGCTTCTTGCATAGGATTTTCGTAGACAGCATAATCTAGTAAGTTGGCCAGCAATAGCCTCTAACATTGCATATGTTTGCAACCACAGAATCTATAGACTGAAATATGCCGCGATCAGCCTTATGGCTCCCATTATCTGGGTTAACTATCCCGAGGCTACCAAATCCACATGGCAATAACGGCAGCATCCCACCGCCAGACCCGAGCAAGGCCAAGGCAACCGAAGGCAACCAGCGAGGGATGGACGTGGCGTCGAGGCGTTGAGATCTACACTTACATCTCCGAGGCGAGTGGCAGTAGCAACGTCACCTATGTGGCGCGGTTAATGATCGGGTGAAAACAAGAATATGCGTGTTGTCACATTCTATCCTTGTTTCTATGAAAGAGGGCAGTATCTTTGCAGCGGTTGGTCTGTTTGTCGGACACTCTCCGGTATCTGCAGTGCTGAACCTCGTCTGGAAACAGGTTTTTCGAAGCAGTGCGGGATATTCTGACTCACTCGATGTCAGGTAGTGTGGACAAACACGATGCAATGCACACCTTGGCATGGGGAGTGCAGTCCCACGCAGTGAAGCGAAAGTATGTCCAGCTGTGGAGACATGATCACCTCGTAATGCAAAGGTCATGCGACGCAAGGATGGATCATGCTGTGCGGGATGTACACGCGAGGTGGGTGTTCTTACGGAAGATGGGGTTGGGAGATCATGGCTGCTAGATATCACCTGTTCATGTGCTGAGATTATGACCTGCAGTGTGATTACGTATTGCTACTAAGTATGGATCTGTGTGTGCATTCCATGGCGCAGTCGTCACAGATACTTGTTGATTACACTACCGGTGATTGTGATGGATGTGAGATATCTCAAATTTAGTGCAGTGAGTCTGCTTGAAGCAGGTTGTAGTCATCAGACAATCTTCGTAGATGTGTGATAGAATATTCTTCGTTCCAATTGAAGACATTGTAGAATTTGACATGGTGTATGCAGTCGTAGATCATGTCTACTACTAAGTATAGTTATTTGGGTCAAGTCCACGTCAGCCTACATCTCTCTGTATTAAGCGAGATTGCATGGTTATTTTGATAGTAGAAGAAGTACAGAGACAATAATAGCAAGAGGTTAATCAAGCTTACTTTCATTGGATGAGTCGACACTGCTATACTCGTCATCAAGTGTACACCAGCCCCTATCCCCCTACCCAACCTTGATATCATCCAGACCAAGAATGACCCCAAACATAGACCTAATGTACACAATCTCACAATACCACCACCACCACCACCATCAACAACAACCATACTACCAACACTCCCATTACATACACAGATCCATTCCCACAGAATCATAATCACTCAACCCCCGGCAACACTCCCTTAACCCCCAACAACCCCGTCCCCTGCACACACCCCCAATACTCGCCCAAGAAATCCCCATCCCTCAACACCGCCGTCTCAACCCACAACTTCAATCCCCCTCCAAAAAGCACACCTCCAGGCCCATACGCCTCCATAAACGCCTTCCTAAGCTTAACATGCTCCGCACTCTTCCTCCCCAACGTCTCCATATACTGCAAATCCACAAAGTAAAGCAACTGTACATCCCGCCCAAGCGTCAACGGATACCTCCTCCTCCTCTGCCCCTCCTCAGCAGTAGTAGAATTAGAGGTAGGGATAGTACTCTCCACAGAGGGATTATAACATCCCCTAGAGGAAACCACACCCCCCGGTAATCCCGCACTCAGCACCTGACCCACCCATTCCTGCGACAGGGAATCGAAGTGTTCAGCCCAGTAGGTACGTTCCTCTGCAGATGCAGCAGAGTGATCTTGTCCTTCGACCACGAAGCAGATGTTATCGGGGATGTGGGTGATGGTTTGTTTGTAGGGGATGATCTTTTCCCCTGTTCCTTTTTCTTCTTGTGTATCAGTTTTGCTTTCAGCAATAGACATAGCGGCAGTACTGATATCCTCCTTAGTAATCTTCGATTTAATACTCTTCTCCTCAATCCGATCCGGATAACACCCCCAATAGCCCGATAACTCGGGCTTGAGATCTATCTTTCCTAGGTGCATACATCCCGAGGGCACGGGGTGGTTCGTGGCGCCTTGGATGCGGGAGGGTTGGATGGTTAGGGTTTCGTGGTAGATTCCTGCTGGAGGAGTACTAGTATCATCACTGTCGTTGAGGGAGGAGAAGAAAGCGGAGACGGTTGGGGAGGTAAGCCATGTTTTGTAGTTTGCTGTGCTCCAGTAGGTTAAGTGGATGGTACTATTCGTGTGGTGCTGGTGGAGGGTTTCGGTATGGGCGCAGAGAGAGTCGGACAGGGCGGAGGCGAAGAGTGAGGTCAGGCTGGTTGTCAGGGTCGGGGTGTGTGGGGGTTGGTGCCGGTTATGGTGATGGTGATGGGGGTGTTGGGGGGGAGGGAGGCGAGGAACATTTTCAATTCTTTTCCTTCAGTATTTCTTCTGAGGTAGTTGTTGGTGGTGAGAGAGTAGTGGTGGTGGTGTTAATTGGGATGGTGGTTGTGGTGGCGATATTCAGTTTATATATGCGCAGCAATAATCTGTTTTAGCCCCCTCAGTGAATCAAGACATGGAGGGGTTAGTAGCTGTCTAGTGCTCACTGAGGATCTCTTTTTATCTCGTTGAACCAACTGTCATCCACAATTATCTCTTAGTCGTCTTCCTCCAGACCCATCGTGTCAGTTCATCCCATCCAATCCCGTCGCCGCATATGTAATGCATGGGCCCCTTCTCCCGTGGTTGACTTGCTCGTTTTGCAACGCCGTCATCCAAACTATTTACGATAGATTAGACGGGCACTTACTAATTGGTGAGGGTTCGAGGGGGTCAATAGTAGTTGCTAACAGAGAGAATTGTTGGCAATGTTGTGGAAAATATTGACAGTATAGGAAAGAATCTATGTCCGCTATCTCTCTCTCTCCCCAAATGTATGTACAAGAATGAGACATCCACAATACAACCTCCATCTACAGAGTACTTCTATGTCTATACACCCATCTACACCCCTTTTACTACCCATCTAACCCCCCTACTTGGCCAGGTTCGGGCACTCGCCCTGCGCCCGTTGGAATGCTCCCGCGAACAGATCCTGCATGGCGCAGTAGTGGAACAGAATCCCTCCCAGGACAGCCAAGTGCCAGATGTTGTGACTGCCACCGACATAATCGAACAATCCTGGCCGCCACCGCTCCGGCACCTGCGACGCATACACACATGCTCCCACGAAGTACACCATGATGCTCTTCACCACGGGTGCGTAGAAATACAAGCACCAGGCGAGTCCACGCGTGTACGTCAGCTGGGCCAACGGCGCGAATCCCGTCAGCGCTAGCGATACGTAAAAGGCCACGCGCGCCCATGCCATATCCGCCCGGTTAAAGGTCGGGTGCCACGGCAGGATCACTCCTCCAATGCCCAGCGACATGGTCAGCAGAATATAAGTCCACCGTGAGACCGGCTCGCAGTAGAAAGCCGTGTACTCGGTCGTCACGATCGAAGCTGCCACCAGCATCGAGATACCTGTGTAATCCACACAGGCAAATCGCTCCATCAGCGTCTGACTGGCGATGCTGTTCATCGTGTGCCACAGTGTGCTGCAGACAAGGCACTTGCACGCCGCGAAGAAGAAGACGGCCGCCACGAGAATATCGGTCCGTGAGCTGAGGTGGAAATTGGGATTCAGCGGGTAGAAGTAAAAGGCCACCGACAGGACGATGAAAAGCCCAATCAAATGGGACCAGATGTTGAACGTCTCGTTGGAAGGGGTGAACACCGAGGTCAAGCATTCCACCTTAGAGTGTGTGAACCGATAACCCTGCAGGATATGCGGGTTCACCCGCCACGGGTGCGGGAGATCCGCATACGTGATCAACCGTTGCTCCTGGGCCAGCAGGATAGCTCGGTCGATGCTCTCCCGCAATGCGTCTTTCGCCCGTCGTGCCCGTTCCATACCCTCGTCAACCACCTCACGGGCGTGCACCAGCTTCGAGTCCATCGCCTTCCAGCCATCATCTAGAGTGCCGTAGAGCCCCCGGTCGCGGACCGCGTGGGCGCGGGACTCCAGCTCGACCAGAAACGACTCCATCAGTCGGACTCCCACCTGGGCTTTCTGTTCGAGTGTCTCCTTTGTTGCGAGGGCATCCATGTAGCGGTCCTCCAGCGTCTCAACCAAAATCTTGGCCCGCTTTTTCCCACCACCCATCAGCTCCCCGGAGGCATGGGAGCAGGAATCTCGCACGGCTTCCAAGGTGGCGTATCCACGGCGGAGACTGGCGTCGATCTGATCCATGTGGGACTTGCGGTATTGTTCGAGCCAGTGGAGGCGTCGTTCGAGTTCGGCCAGGAAGAGCTCCACCTACGGAGAGGTCAGTCAGGGACAGTATGGATGGTGGGAGCCAAGGGTACAGCGTACCCGTAGGAAAACAGCATCCGCATCGTAGTCGCAGGACAACTTGCGAGCCGTATGAAAGGAGTGTCTGCGGCGGCGATCTCTCAGGAGGCCGGTGTCTTCTTCTCCGGGGGTGGCATAGGCGGAGGCCACCGCGGCCTCCGGATAGGACTCAATGGTGACAGATTGAGATGAGCAGGCCATGGTGTACAGTGACAGATAAAACCACAGCGTAGAAGTCAATTCCACATATCCTGGAGAGGGTGTAAGAGTTAGTGGTGGTTGGGCAGACAGCGAAAGGATGTTGTTTGGGTGGGGAAGATTCGGGAGAACCGGGAGAGGCGGAGAAAACGAGTACCAAAATACGTACAAGAAGAGTAAACTAATAAATATGCAAGGAGAGGAGAGGATGGAGAAATTAAGGAGAGACGAAAGAGAGGAGAGGGGCAATCCAACAGCAGCCAGTACAGTTAGATAGGGCGAGGTTGAAAGGAGAAGTCAGAAAGAGGAGAAGGAGAAGAACTAAAGAAAGAGGAGAGAGAGGAGAGAGAGAGAGAATCCAATGAAGTGGGGAGGATCCAAAAGATTAGCTCCGGCTGCTTCGTCTCCGAATCATCGACCACTCACTGAACTGGCGCTTGAAACGGCCTTTTTCATTTCCGCCCGGTCTTTCAACTTCATCGAGTCTACGCGCCATTCTTCTCTTATCCCAACCTTTCAGTGGCTACTGTCTTAAACCCTACCTTATCGTTCAGCCCATCAGCGACCGCAGCTGCTCCACGTTGGCGTTGATTTCCTTGCCACCAGCCACCTCCGAACCAACAAACAGTCTACTCTTTTCCACTAAATCATCCTTCTATCGTCTCCGCCTTTCCGTCGGATTTATCCATCCTGTGACAACCCGCCATGGCCATCCGGGATATCGTCGCCAATCCCTCGCTGTTGCCCGTGCTCGGGCTCAGCGCCGAGACTCGCGATCAATGCATGAAACTGTTGGCCGTACTCGACCCCACGGCTGATCTGTCCGATGACCCCCAAGAGCGTGCTCTGGTAGCCTCTCGCGAGCAGAAACAATTGTTTGCTCTTCTGGCTCGTCTGCGGGGGCAGAACCGGGATGCGATCGTGCGGGTGCGCGAGACCAAACAGTCCACTGCAGAGGCCCGCCAGGAGATTGACCGTCTCCATCTTCAGCTTCAGAACTTGTATTATGAACAGCGACATTTGACAGGCGAGATTGCCGCCTGCGAGTCC